TAGTGATGTTTTACCGCACGTATAGTTAAAAAGTAGTAAAAATTTTGGATTTACGTGTTTATTATTTTATTGTGAGAATGTGTGGTTAAAGATGAATTTTCGAAGAATTGTAGAAAAATACGGGCTTACTGTCTACGGTTACCGTGACAAACCTGTGAAATTCAAAAAATAAAAATAAAAATTCTTCTTTTGACTTTGTAGTTGATTGCAATCAGTGGAAGTTGCTAAACACGGCTTTGATTGTAGAAGTGGTGGCGGTGGGTGTAGGTTTGATATTAATTTGGATTTTGGAGTTGGGAATGAGGAATAAGAATGTGTTTTAAACCCTTTTAGGGTGTGCGTGAGGGGTGGAGGGAGTGGTGGTACCAACGATATGCGGTGGCGGTGACTTTCTAGTAATGACGTGGGTGCTTTTGGTTTTGTGTTGGAGTGGTGTGGGTGTTTGGAAAAGAAAATAACTTTCTCTTCTTCTTTTATTTATTTACTTGTTTTATTTAATTATTTAAATTGTTTAATGTAAAAAATATAAAGTTATCATTTTGTCATATTTAAAAATATTTAAAATTTGGTCATAGTCAAATTCTTTGATAAACTAACGAAAATATGGATGAAAACCGTTCATATATCTTTTCGTTGCATATAAATGATATTTTCAACAAAACCCGAGTTCTAAAAAGTAGGGTCCTTAAAAAGACATGCTATCCACTTCCATGTTTTCAAGGTTTCTTTAACATTTTAGTTAGGCTCACCACACTATGTTAGTTGCTATATATATACAATGAGTTTTTGTGGATGGTATAGCTAAGCTACATGTGCAAGCACATCGTAGATATTCAATAATAAAAATGAATATTTAGCAATTTCAATGTTTTCATATTTCACATGCAGATTCTCAATCACAAGCGAGTAAAATGTATAAATCGAAATTTACTAAACTTTAGATTTGCTACTAGCAGTAGCGATGAGTTGGACTAAATGACAAATAAGGTTCATGCAGTCATGTTTAATTTAATTCAATTTAATTTTTTTTTTACTTCAATTTTATTGAAAAATAAGTACTGATTTGTTGTTTCTATCAATTACATGATGCCTTTTCTCAAGAATTTGCATAGTAATGTCATCAAACACCCCATTTTATGTGTACATATTTCTTGAATGATTATTTTGTTTATATTTATGCATATTCTCTATTTAATTGGAGAGTCTAAATATTTCACAACCAATCAATTGACAATTTGAAAAGGTAGCCACCTCAAATATGCATGTATGGAGTTATGCACACATGATGCTATTGGATTGGAATAAGCTAATTATTATACTTGCCTTGAAGACCTCATTTAGCAACTAAGCCAATTTTTTAGTCGAGAATATTTTATATAAGAAAATCGTCAACTCGTTGTTTCAATTGGTATACATTTTGAGTCACTGTTTGACCTACATTCTTAAACAGTGATTTGACATTATTTTAACCACACATTTTTTAATGAAATAATATTACATGCAAATTCAAAATTTTTCCTTATTTTTTAATTACATTTCCCATCAATATACTATTAAAAAATACATTCTTATGAAAATAATGTGGCTCAAATAAGGGCTAAATCTTCAATACACTATCTATATAAATACAATTTGACTAATTTCATGATGTATCAAGTCTTGAACCAATTTATAAAAAGATAAGTATTTATGTACGTTTACATATTGAATTTAGTATTCATAAAAGACTCACTAGCAAAATTATTTTAAATTGTTGCAATAATAGTCCTTTACTATGTGTGCTTATCTTGATGAATCCTCGCAACCTCCCAATATCTTTTATATTTTAGACAACTAACGCAAGTGCCCACATGCTTGGCTTAACAATAATCACATAAACGTTCACACAATAAACACTTATAAGTTAAGTCATGAGTGACTTAAGCCTCCCACCTCAACCCCCTCTTGTGTGTATGTGTGTGTTTACCTGGAATTTCTTGATTAGCTTAATGAAATTTAAATCCATGATAAGCTAGTGTAACCCTAATACCTCGTAATGTGATTTTAAGACATGTTTGGCACAGTAAACGATATTGAACTGATAAATTAATATATTTTATCAATTAAAAGATACCCATCTTTACATTCATTAATCTTAGTCGAGTAATGAAAGTTATGTTGAAGTAAAGAAGTTTTTATTTAGCTTTATTTATCATTAAAAACAGATCAAGCTCCTACAACCTAATCCATGACTTAAGTCTTAAGTTGTGATGCTTGTTATGCCTAACCTCACCAAATAGCAATGCCACTCCCAACCCAAGCCACCCCACCAGGGGGTGGGAGTGGCGGCAGGTTAGGGTAGGGTGGATAGGAAAATGAAAAAGATGCCTTGCCTTTCTTGAACGGAAGGCAACCATGAACACTAACCACTTGCTCACTCAAAGAATTGTATTTCAACATAACATAAAAACCAATAAAGTGTTCAAAGATTAATTAATGAAATAATAACTCTTGACAGTAAGGGGGAAAAAAATTTGTGAGTAAATTTTTCACATAGAACAATAATTATCAATCCATTCTCTTTCTCCTAGTAGTGGCAATCCACCAAAGCCACGGCGGAGAAGGTTAGACCTTGATGGTTGGAAGAAAACTGAAAATTCGGCCTCGGCCCCGACACCGGCCGGTGATTGTCTTCGGCCGGAGCTGGCAGGTTGAGATCCAATGCAAGAATATTTCTAGGCTTTTCACCATCATTGGATGATGATTCATTAACTCTTGTACTATTAGGGTTCCTATGTCTTCTCATGTGTCCTCCCAATGCTTGTCCAGACGAAAACTTTGAACCACATATTGAACACTCATGAATTTTAGGATTATTATGAGTATAATGGAAACTTTTGTGGGATTTCTCTTCTTCTTCTTGATTGCCAGACCGGATGTGGACCGGAGTTTCTTTTTGATCATTTTCCGATGGTTTCGACTTCTTGTGACTTGCTCTATGGCCTCCTAATGCTTGAAATGATGGAAAACTTCTGTTGCAAGTTTTGCATTCATAAATATATATGCTATCTTTCGTCGTCATTGATGTCGCATTTTTCGGTAGTGAAACACCACCTTGTGCCAAAAAAATTAAACAATTGGCCATGTCTTCATCTTCCTCGGTGTTTGTAGAAATTGAGGTTGTCAGAGAGGAAAAAGACGAATAAAACTCACCTCCTCCTCCGTCTCCGCCAATCAGGGCGGTGGCTCCGCTTGATGACAAGGTGGAGGATGACGGCCTTTGCCGCTTGGTACGTTTCCCTTTAACAATTGAATGATCATTGGACCCCAAACACTCTTCCATGATTTCCATATTGGATCCTTAGAAGGAATTAGAGTGAGAGAAAGAAGAGTATTTAGTAGTGTAAGAAAGTGAAGAAGAATGATGAAAGAAACTATGATGGGATTGTTAGTGTTGCTACATGTATACAGATATATAGTGGACCTCATGTATGTATTAATTTGGAGTCAAAAGCAACCCTTATGAACATTCACATTGAATCGTTGTTGAGTGCCCATTAGTTAGCAATTTTTCACTTCAAAAATAAAATAAAATAAAAAATTATCGTTATTTCATTATTCGAATAGTCATTTTTACTTCTTTACCCACAGGTGGAATTTACTTTTCTCTCTAACAATCAAAAAATCAATTTTCATTATCATTACCGAATAGGCCCTATATATGTCACGATCATCTTAGTGTTTCTACAAATTTTATGATAAATTCATTTTCCATCCACTATTCTATTAAACAATAATTTTCAACATTAAAACATAAATATGATATATAGTACGTAGTCTAACGAATAAGATTTTATCTTTTTAAACTACATTTTTTAATCTACATAAAATATTTCCAAATGATGGAGCTAGAAACTTACCTAGAGGAGGCAGCCAAAAGAGGATTTTGGAGAGGTTTGCAATTAAAGAAAAATAAAATATTCTTTTATCAATTTTGTATAGTTATAAAATAAAAATTAATGAAAAGCATGTATAATATAAGTTCTACCTAATATAATTACAAGATAAAATTATTTATTATTAGGGTAATTAATGAAGTCCCTTAATTTTCTTATCCCCTATTCAAAAGTAAGTTGGTGGGTTGGTGGTTGTTGGATGGTTGAAGCATACAAGTTGGGCTCCCGAATAATGCGGCATGTGAATAAAGAGTTATATAATGGTTTACATACAGATGGGATGTGAGCGAAAATGTTTTATTTATTTATTTATTTTTATAATTTGGTTGAAGAAATTTTAATCCAATCATATCTCACTACATCATGTGTATGTAAAATATTATGTACATATAGCACAACCGACCACCATATATATATATAAACGTGAAAAGCACGTAATAAGTGAAGGTGTAACTGATTTACAATATGAATAGGAAATTATAAGTCGTGGATGTCTTATGTTCTCAATAAAATATATTTAAGTTAAGAAGGATAAATGACAATCTCTTGTATTTTGCTAGGAATTGTTGAAAATAAATAATGTTGTGGAACTTTTAAGCAATTTATTATGACTCAGAATTAGTAGGTAAATTTTTTTCTTGAATTAGCTCACTCATTTTGGTTTTTACACACTACTTGTCACTCCTAGTATGGTCCCACTATGCTATTTATAAGAATCGAGGATATTTTTAGTGTAATTAAACTATTAGATAAGATAAGATAAGATAACATACATATATTTTACTTATATAGCTTCTTAGATCAAACAAGATAATGTTCATATATTTTACTTTCTAACTACTTCTTTAGTTGTCATATTCTTTATAGTAATTTAATTTTTTTAGAATGTTTCTAAAATTTTCATTTTTAACCATATCGTTTATTTTAGAAATGAAAATTCTAGTTTTAATACAGCACAACTCTCGATTATCCGAACACTATGTGTTCATATATTTTATTCACTTTTTTTTCTCTCTCGACTGCATCCTTCTTTATCCTAATATACATATAAAAATTTGTAAGTGAAACTTTAGAAATCAATTTCTTGCATTTATTTCTCTTCAAAATCGAATCAGTTCTTCCAGATCATGAGCATAAGTAAATAGATATGTTAACTAAATATGTTGTACGTGAACTTTATGAGCAAAATATCGAAAATGACATTAGTAAATAGTAATTCACATAACAATAAATTATATCAAATATGCATTAATTATATGCCATTATTTAGAGTTTAAGTAATTCAATACATTGAAATAAATAGAATGAAACAAAATATTTTTTTAAGTAATTAGAGTAATAATAAAATATATATTTATTACATTAAAATGAATAGGATGAAACAATTTTTTTCTGTTTAAATTTTATTCAATTAATAATATAAAATATTTTCTTGGTTGTCATCAAGAAGAATTAATAAATTCAAATGAAGATTAGATATTTTAGGGTGTCGAAATTAACTAAACTATTAATAATTATCATAATGTCAATTATAAAGGAGACAAGGGTATCAAAACCTGACATTCATTTAATTTTTTCTTTATTTGTTAATTTGTATTTTTACACACTATAATAAATAGAGTTATGCTACTATATATATATATATACATACACACACACCCTTACCATCAAGATGATATTAACAATGACCTGACTAGTGTACACTCTTACCGTTTGAGCTATCTCTTGATCTCACTATACGTCCTGTTTTGATCGAGCATTCGTTTAAATCTTGTATTGTGTCTAATTTTGTTTAATATTTTAATTAAATCTTTCAATTATTCTGTTTAATGTAAAAATCTCCTTTAATTCCCAAAGTCAATCACCATTCATTAATTCTAAAATTAACTTGAGTCTTATATAATTATGTACTTATTAATCTTTAGTCTTACTCAAAGAGCTTTATTATTTCTTCCAACAGTGCAATGAGGCCCTTCTATGATCAAATTCTATGAAATTCCATACAATAAGTATAGTGTTAAAATTGGTTAAATCAAGTTTTTATATATATTCACTCTTTTGATTTCTTAAGAAGAAAATTTATGGGGTAACCAAACCAATGTCCCATGTTACCTTAATTGAATAATTAAACTTATATTTTATTTCGGCTAAATCAACCAATTCAAGTCTGTTAGCCTAAAAAGGGAAATTACTATCGTGACAATTGTAATTATTCTGAAGTCAAATTTATTTAACATTGTATCAAAATTTATATCATTTTTCCGTTTGACAAGCTTACAAAGTTGAGTAAAGTAACTTGATTGAAATAAAAGTATGAGCTAAGTGACCCCATTACGACACGATATAAGATTTACGTGTACCCGTCCCCCACACCACCCAATCCTTCTTTCTCTCACACACACATGCTTAAGTTCAAGTGCTAGTAATAGTAGTGGAATTAGTGATGTTTAGGAGAACCACTTTGTAAGGTGCCCCATTAAACAACTTTGAAAGACACTGACTTTTTTCCAACTCCCACCCAACATTAGGTTCCAAACTATTGCTTTTACTCAACTCTTACTACTACGTGCACTATTTTCCAACTCTCAAATTTTGCTCATGAGTTCTTAATTCTTAATTAAGCCCTTTTAATAGCCATCTCCGCACTCTTAATTATGCCACAAAATTTGGCAATCTTCATGTGCCCTAAGCACTTCAGTTGTTCAAGGTTTCAAGAAAACTATGTATCATAACAAACTTGATGTTACTAATCAAACAAGTCTTAACTGTCGAAGATTCAACCTTAGGCTCTCTTATTCTTTCGGATGAAAAAATAAAAAATAAAAAATAAAAAATCTTGTAATTCTATTGTATATGTAGACAGTAAATTAAGCTTTTGTTTGGTCCAAATTTTCTAAAACTCATTTATAAAAATATTTTATGGGACATTGGGACTGACAATTTGTATCAACTTTCTAATCACATATTTTAACTTTTATGAGGCTAAACAAAGCAGCGTGAGATGCATAATTTACACGAGTATGTGTTTAGGCTAAGATAGACTAATGGTGTTAGGGTATGATTCTCACTTATTAGATCTTGGTATTTCAAGTTATATAAAGTAGTGTGAGACGCATTACACACACGTTTTTTTTTTTTTTTTTTTTAAGTTAATCATCAGTTCAGTGCATAAGATCATTTACTGGAATATAAAGACAGCTGAATTAGCTGAAAATGCAATTGAAAGCTAAGAAAGATTGTTAGGATCTATTCCCAATCACATAAATAGTCCTACCTAATACCCAAGATTAGAAAGCTGACTGTTGTCAAATATTTATTTAATTGTTGAATTTTAAGTATTTCTTCATCCTCATTAGTGGAGTTTTCCAGATCACGATCGTTTGGAGCGAATCCAGGGGTCAAATTCAGCTAGGGCGGATCACGAGCATTGAAAGTTTACTATCGTCATGAGCGTTGAAAGCTTACTATCGCCAGCCAACGTCCATGATAGTGGGGTTATTTATTAATATTTGATTAAATAATATTCAAAAATCGTATGGATTAGAACTAAAAGAACTGGATTCACCACTAAAACTAGAATTAGGTATGAAGTTTCATTTTGGATGAAAAAATCGTTCCATAATCTGCAAAATGCCATAATTTATTTTTCAATTAAAAGGCAATATATATTAACAAAATACCAATACTCACTTTACAATTAAGGTTAATTAAACAAGTATTATTATATTAATAAAATTGAAATTATTTATGTACTTATATCAATTTTATTTGCTTGTATGATTACACTTTTTCGCCATCGATTTTTTGTTAATGAAAAGTTGAACCTTTTATTAATTAAATAAGTTTTGTTAAAAGATTCCTTATGACATTAAAGCCAATTTCCCTATAAATTCATCAACAATTAATTGACCAAACTCTCAAATTAGTTGATTAGAGGGAAATAAAAAAGAAAAGAAAAAGAAAATCAAGAAGAGGGACAAAGCACCGGCCAAAATATTTCTACTTGTATTAAACCAGTAAAATTAAACATGTATGATTTTGTTCTGTTATGTGCTAAAAATAAATAAGTGATATGATGGTAAAGTGGTCGATATGTTTAAAGAATGTAGTAAGTTCAAATCACTTTCTTTGCATTTGTTTTGGTAAAAATTGTTGAAATACAAAAATTATAAAAAATATTGTTCTTGAAGAGTTTTTGAATGCAGGACTTCCAATTCAATAGTGGAAGGGCTAACCAACTGAATTATCAGAGATGTTTATTGTTAATATGAATTATCAAATATATAATCTAGAAATTCTATCTATAATAAGGAAAAAAAATTCTCCCCAACAAATCCAAATAGGACGGCTACCCTAGCTGGCCACCACCTAAATTCGCCCCTGACAATCGTTCCTAATTTGATCGATCGTTAATTGTAAGGTTAAACGCTTGACTTTTGATCAATTAACGAAATTTTGGACGAAATCGTGCAGAGGTTCTTCTGATGCTCAATTTTGAAAGGTTTGTTTGGGAGC